ACGGATGGGCCCTGGGGTGGTGCCTGGCCCAGGATGCGGTGGAGCTGCTGGTAGTGGGGGCAGGTGTCGGCTCCTGGCCCTTGCTGGCCTGGACATAGCCCAGGCGCAGCTCCTTCACCTTAGCCCGGACTTGCTTGAGGGTCCGGGCTGGATGTCCCTGGAGGGCGAGCGCCTGGGCCATGCGATTGAAAATGTCCGCATTGCGGCGACAGGAGCGGGTGTCATGCAGAGCCTCTTCTTCCTCCCAGAGGTTCAGGAGGGCCTCCAGCTCCCCCGGGGACCAGGATGGGGCCCTCTGTTTTCGGCCCCTTGGGGCCTCCTGCGCTGGGGGTGCGGGTGACTGTTCCCCCCGCCCCCGGAGCTGCCATCCTTCTCTGGTGCCTTTTGGGGACAGCAGGGAGCCACGTGGCACAGCTCACTGCAGAGGCAGCAGAAAGGCTTCTGCCTTGTGGCCTCTGCAGGCAGCGTCTGCCTTTAAGGGGTCTCGGGTTACCAGGAAGTCAGGAGCTGCCTGCAGGTATGGAGCGTCCAAGTGGCCAGTAGGCCTTTTTTCCGTTTAGCCTGCTTTTGCACAAAATGTTTTAGCTGCCTGTCTACACTGGCCTCTTGCGCAAGAACACTTGTGCAAGAGAGCTTATTCCTGAGTGGGAGCGTCAGAGTATTTGCGCAAGAATCACTGATTTCATACATTAGACCGTCAGTGTTCTTACGAAAAATACTTGTGGCCAGTGTAGACAGGCGGCAAGTTTTTGCACAAAAGCGACTGCTTTTGCATAAAATCTTGCCAGTCTAGACGAAGCCATATAGTTTGTATGTTACACATGGATGGAGAAAACAGAACAGTGAGATGGATACATGTAACATAGCACGAGCAGGAATAATATGTCATAGCTCACATATTTAATGCAACCAAAAATGCAAATATTTTGTCTTCTTTCTTATACGGAATACAATATTGTATTCTGCTTGTCAGTATTGACCTATTTGGGAACCTATGTTACATTTGTCACCAGATGTAACATGCTATGATTTGATCCTGTAATTTTTTAAATTTAAAAATAAATCTGTGGTACAAGAATGAAATAAATGAAAATGTATTTGTTCCTGGGGCCTAGAAAGAGAGTGAGAGTGAGTGGGAGAAGTGGTAAATTTTAATTAAATACCTTAATAAGAGGAAAACACAATAAGATCTCCCTTCTGTAACCGAGACAAGGAAATCCAAAGGCCCCAATCTTGCAAGCTATTCTATATAAGTGAACCCCCGCACACCGCCATAGAGACTCACAGCCTTTATAATGGACATTGGAGCCACAAACAGAGTTGCTTGCAAAATTTAGACCTGAGATTCTAAACTGCTGGAGAAAAAAGGGTGAAAACACCTGACCGAATGCCTAGGGCCAGGGCTTGGGATGAATGAAGGGCAAAAGCAGATAAACTTTCTGTCAAAGAAGAAGGATAGACTGAGTTGTTGGCTGATGGATCTCATTTTCTACGACACCATTGGTGAGTAACTAAGCCAATCCTTGATCTACAAATCCAATTACAGATGTCACAAACGTAAGCAGGGTCTGAATCAATGCTTCCATTACAGCCAGCTGGAATGGGAAAGAAATCCTGGGTGGCTACGTCTAGACTGGCATGATTTTCCAGAAATGCTTTTAACGGAAAAGTTTTCCGTTAAAAGCATTTTCGGAAAAGAGCGTCTGGATTGTCACGGACGCTTTTCCACAAAACACTTTTTGCGGAAAAGCATCCTTCGTCAATCTAGACGTGCTTTTCCGTAAAAAAGTCCCGATAGCCATTTTCGCAATTGGGGCTTTTTTGCGCAAAACAAATCTCAGATGTCTACACTGGCCCTTTTGCGCAAAACTTTTGCTCAAAAGGGACTTTTGCCCGAATGGGAGCAGCATAGTAGTTCCGCAAAAAGCACTGATTTCTTACAGTAGGAAGTCAGTGCTTTTGCAGAAATTCAAGCGGCCAGTGTAGACAGCTGGCAAGTTTTTCCGGAAAAGCGGCTGATTTTCCGGAAAAAACTGGCCAGTCTAGACATAGCCGGTGTGTTTATGTAAATACAGTTTGCCCCTACTTCACTTAGATGTGTTAGATATTCAACTGTTACAATGGTGTTTTGCCCCTTATAGCCAATTTGGCTGTTGTGGGGTCACAAATTGTGTTAACACTAAATGTGAGATATGATAACCAATGCTTCCTGTTATTGTGGGAATGCAGAAAAATAAGATTCTGTTTAACTTGTAATGTCTAGATATGTTGACTCTCGAAGTGTTTGAGAGCCTGTACAATAGTTTGCCATTAGAACAATCTGTCCTGAGCTACGATTTCCAGATCACCAGGACATATTCTGTATGACTTCACATTGACCTTTAAGATATTTTTATAATGCTTTTACCGAGCACCAATCGAGTACTTTCTGTGAACAAGCTGGCCATAGAAGAACATCTTTGGTATCCATATATCATTCATCCTCATAACATGACCAATACAGCATAACTTTGTTCATAAGCATTGCTTCCATGCCTATGAAACCACACAGAATAATGACCTCCATGTTAGAAATTTTGTCCCACCAAATGACATGGGCAATCTTTGTAAAGCAGTGTATTTAGAACTGATGAGTTTCCAAACATGGCGATGATGTATGGTCCATGACTCCAAACCATACAGCAGAATATTCAGGACAACTGCCTGAAAAATTGTTACCTACATATGAAGTTTAACACCATGGTCATTCTACAAGTATTTGGTCAATCTTTGAAGGCAGCACTGGCTTTGTCTAGTTGAGATGTTACATTGTCATCAGTGTTTATGCTGGAGGACAGTATGCTTCCAAAGTACTGAAACTTATCAGAAGCCTTAAAGACAGTACCAGCAGCAGTGATCACTGGAGTGTTGGGCTCTTCCTAAACAGACTGAGGCCTAACGTCTGTGTTCTTGAGGCTCACAGTGAGTTCAAATTGGGGAGCACTAGTAGCAAAATGATCAAAAAGCTCCAGTGCAAATGTTTGCAGTCCTGTGCAAAAGTTTGAAACTGGCCACAATACTTGCCATGCTGCTTTCTGGATTGTTCCAGATATCTGTCGTAGGTATCTTCCCCAGTTATGTGGCATGATAGGAAGGAATATTGCACATTCTCTGTAAGGAGAAGGCAGAGTTTATCTTAAACACCCCTTTTGTTCCATTTAAGTTATAACTTATGTTGTGTGATGCCCAAAATTGGACACAGTACTCTAGCTGAGGCCTCATCAGCACCAAGAGTGGGACAAGTACCTTCTTGATTTTACATATAACTATTCTGTTAATTCACCCCAGAGTGATATTAGCCTTTGGTGTATTAACAGTTGTTGACTCATTGAATTTGTGACCCACTGTAGTGTTGTGCTAAGAAACAAGGGATATGGTACCACTCAGTTCACCTCACAAGCACCTCCACTCTAGAACTGCAATAGTGTGCATGCAGTAGTCTGAGGATAGCTCTAGTTATCCTTTGCAGTATGGGTGCTCTTGAGCTAAATAGCTGGAGTGAAGTACGTCAAGAGTATGGGAGTTAACAATGCAGTGAAGACAAGCCTTGTGTTACAATAGGGGGCTTGGTACAGACCAATATTGTAAGGCACAATGGTGGGTTAAAGCTGCCATAGCCTCCTGCAGCATGGAATCTCACTCCCTGTGTAGGTTTTGTTACCCAAAAGTGGTAATAGCTTTTGGAAGTGATTTGGACAGCTGTACTCCCTCTTTTTACAGTGTAAACACGGCAGCCTTGTGCTAGTGAATGAGAACTAGAAAGTGAAAGTGGGACTGAGGAGGAAGTGAAGTAGCCCCTTACTGTCTATCCAGAGCAAAGTGCGAAAAATAAACAAGCAGTATAAATGATTAAAAGAAAATCAGATTTTTAAAGAGAAATTCAGTTTTAAGGTGTTACCACAGGTAAGGAATGTTTTTATAAACTGTGATTTTAATCTTGATAGTGTCTCAGTAATAGCGCTTAATTATAGAAATGGTGTCAGATATTGTTCAAGGGCATAATTTATTCATACACATTAAATGTAACAAACCTCTGCATGTTACCAGAGAGCCCCATTCTGATTAACATGGTGCCATATGTTTTTATCATGTGCTGGTTTGGGGCAGAGTTAATCTTTATAGAGTTATGATGTTAGATTGTCCTAGATATGTCAAATATAGAGCTGGGGGCTTCCTCATTTGTATAAATATTTCTGGACATTTAATTTCAGATTATCAGTTTGGTGGATAATAAAAAATGACCTCTCAGTAAATGGAACTATACTTTTGGAAGCTCACAGAAGAGGTATTAATATTACCAGAATTGCTTTGTTTCTCAGCCGTGATGGCGTTTGAAAAAAACCTTCCTCCTAACACTTTTTTTTCTTTATCGGGAAAGGAAAACATGGTATTAGAAATCCATTGTTTTAAATAACAACTCAACTAAATCTGATTTTGGCAGATACTAACATTTTCAAACTAAAGCAAATAAGATTTCTGTCAGTCATTTAGCTTGTTGAAACTAGATCCTTATTCGCTTGATTAATTATTTTTAAAAAGAAATAAAATCAACCACTACTAAAACAGCTTATTAACAGAAAATACGTCTAAAATAATTTTTCCGAGTAGTTATCAGAGAAATGTTAACTCTTATAAACAGTCTTGTCTCTGTTTTCTTTAATCATAGGAAAAATATTAAACCGTTATCCATTCAGAACTAATTTTTTCTATGCTGGTACAGTGATAACTGTTGCTGTTTTATATCACTATCCATTAAAAAAAGTGACTGCATCATAACTGAAATTACTTCAAGCATGATATATTTAAATAATTTTTATTTCAGTATGTACAGATCCAGAAAAACCTCAGAGTTACCAATACCAGAGTAATGAACAGACCGGTCAACCACATACCTCATTTGGAACCGGAAATATGCAATCAGGCAGCAACAGAGACCAAAAAAATAAATAAATAAAAAGAAGATGAAGCAAATACACTATAGTACCTTGTTAAATGTAAGCTACTAAAATATAAAGGGAAAGTGGAAAAAAGGTTTGCCAAGGTAAGGAAACTGTAAGTTTTTATAATTTAGATTAAAACAGTTGAAAGTAGCATTTTTCTATCTAGTGACGTTTCAAAGCTGTATTTAGTCTATGTTCAGATGTAAACTTTTGAAAGAAAAAACAAAACATGTTGTTCAGAGTTCAGAACATTTCAGCAGTACATGATTACAAAATGAATGCTATATGGTAAAAGCAAACCCTTCAATATCTGTTATCAGTGGTAGCTAGATACTCAGTATTTTTGTAAACCACTAACGAGGTCATTTTTATTGGATGCTTCAAATAGATTCACCCTCCCCCCCAGTTTAGGTGCTCAACATTTGAACATTTTAGCCATATTATTCATAAGCCAGTGTCTATGTTAATGTCTTCAGTGGAACTACTCAGAGGCTTAAAGTTGAGCATTTGTAAGTCTTTGTAAGGACCTTTGCACAGTGCCTTCCATATTATTGGTGCTATCTAAATAATAATAAATGCAATCCAGTCTGATCTTCATAATACTCCTAATGGAGAGCAAAATTCAGATAGACACTTGGCAACAGGAATAATCTTCTTCCCTCCACAAAGAGGCACACAAGTACACATTGCATGCAAAAGCAGCATGTGAGATTATATTCTGGATAATATCTGAGGAATATCATGCAGAGTCCCCATGTGCTCTATTTCCACTAAGAGTAAAAATAATCTATTTGAAGCTCTGCATACAGCCATTGCCCTTGTCAGAGAGTGTGTGTTCATTAACATGCCCAACATGTTTTCTGATCCTTTAGCCAAACCTCCGTGGCTGCTATAATAGAAAATCTGCTGCATGATCCCTGTTTTTGTGGGAACTAGGGTTGGGAGTGCGGGGGAGGGCATCTTCCTTTATGCACTATAAAAACAGTGCATCAGTTTGGCATATAACATTTATAGTAGTCTATTTTAGACTGAGGACTCGATTCATCCACCTACTCCAAGAGCTCTTTTTCCTCTTTCTGCTCCTTTGTCGGCCTACTTTAGCACATATATTTTGAGAGGGAGGGGAAGAGAAATAGTAATGAAGTTTGCTCTCTCTATTAAGGCCAAACTATTTGTGGTCACTTTTTTTTATATCTTGTTTTCAAATAGTGATAGTGTTCTACTGTCTTGGAGTATCTCACGATCATGAATGCCTACATTAGGGCATTCACTCCAAACTGGAGATGTGTTCTATAATCAGATTTTACCAAGCCAGTAACAAATGTGAACCCCTAGGTCACTATAATAGTTTTACCATGGAGTCGCAGACAGCTCCCTTAGGCTTTCCGATCTATCTTGCTACCCAGGCAAGCTGGACTTAGTGATAAATGGTTACGTACACATAAATTACAAAATATTCAGGTTGTTTCCAGTCCCAAGAGACCTGTCACTTACCCCAGATCAATACCTTAGAACTTACTCAAAAGATAATGCCTGTGGCCAATCCTGTAATAAACTATCTAAAGGTTTATTAACTAGAAAAGAGAAATAAGAGTTGTTTGCTGGTTAAAGCAAGCAAACATACACACACAAATGAGTTACCATCTATAATTCCTAAAGATGACAGAGTTGTAGTAATCTCTCCATTCAAAATGTATGTCAGGGTGGACTCACCCTGGGGAATCTCTGCTTTAGTCTCTGGCACTGAGCGAGTTCAAACACTAAAGAGATGACAAATATTTCTTGTGATCCTGTTTTATCTTTTATTCTTATCCTTCTAGTCCATGAGATGAACTACCTTATAAAGAGTGTTATAAGGCCAATACAAATTTTGAAGAAAACTAATATACATATAAGCTGGTTTGGTTTCCAGCATGAATTTATCAGTTCTTAGTTAATGTCCTTGTCCTGGGCCAGAGCTGGAATTTGGTTCATCTTCATCACAGACAACTGGATGAATATGATGGATCCAGTTTCTCCTACTGTATTCATAGCTGTGCTCACAGCTAGGCATTTGGTTTGGGCCCACCTAAGGTTTTACAATTTTCCCAATCCTCCCACCTAGCAACAAAATAATTACACAGTAAGATGTAATTTTCTATGAAATGCTAAGCTTCCTTTAAATAAACTTCCCTAATTGCCACAGGAAAAAAAAATTAAGTCATAGATTTGTATGAGTCATAGTTTTTGTATGAAACTAGACACACACAGTGCTGAAAAATGGGCTTTGGATCACTAAATGTTAATTGAAATTAATTACACATCTTATAAAAATTATTGTCAGCCTGCATTGTGGAGATCTGAGCTCAGGTTGTCATATTGCCTCTTGCTCCCAGTCCCAGCAGCATGTGGGTGCCATTCAAAGACAGCATCATGTGGGGGAGACACACCCTTCAGGGCCAACTCATGAGTGGTACTAAAAGATTGTAGTAGAAGCTAGATCCCAAATTTCTGGGCCAGAAGGATGTGTCATCCAAACTGCAAGGGCATTCCAGCTCCTATGATTTTGTCATGATTCTTGTAATATTTGTGTTTTTATTAAAGCCTCACTTCCTGAGGTCATTGAAGTCACATGAAAATCTCTGCTTTAATTTAAAGAAAAATAAGTCTTTAGACCTCATGCTTATGGGAAAAAGCCTGAAATGTGTCCGAGAGCTAGCCAATCTCAGTCCAATAGGGACAAGATCCATGTTGCCAGTGTTTCAGAAAGTGTGGGGGGAAGAGTGTGGTCATGCATGGGCTGAGGTCTGTGAATCAAGGCTCCATGTTTCCCATTGATCTTGGCCATTAACCTAGAACCCTGCCATCTGTTCTGCCACTGGTTGTACCTCCTGAAAGAGATCATCCAGCAAAGTGGTGGCTTAAAAAGGGCATGGAATTATAATTGATGCATCCTCTCTATGATGTTAGCAGGGAAAGCTAGCATTTGACTCTAAGCATGTCTGGGAGAGAGAGATCTGGGAACTTATTGGAAAAAGCAACAGACAGGGAGGAAGAGATTGTTTTAGAGAGGGAGGACCTCTCCCTCTCTAAAACAAATACACTAGGCAACGCAGTATAGGAAGGAGGTGGACAGCCCTTGGTGGGGAAAGAACAAGTTAGGAACTATTTAGAAAAGCTAAACATACACAAACCCGTGGGCCCAGATTTAATGCAACAGAGAGTACTGAGGGAGTTGGCAAATGTCATTGCGGAGCCTTTGGCCATTATCTTTGAAAACTCATGGAGATTGGGAGAGATCCCGGATGATTGGAAAAAGGCAAATGTAGTGCCCATCTTTAAAAAAGGGAAGAAGGACAATCCAGGGAACTACAGACCAGTCAGCCTTACCTCAGTCCCCGGAAAAAGGAATCCATTTTGAAGCGCTTGGAAGAGGGAAAAGTGATCAGGAACAGTCAACATGGATTCACGAAGGGCAAGTTTTGCCTGACCAATCTGATTAGCTTCTATGATGAGGTAATTGGCTCTGAGGATACGGTAAAGTCAGTGGATGTGATATACCTTGACTTTAGCAAAGCTTTTGATACGGTCTCCCACAATATTCTTGCCAGCAAGTTAAGGGAATATGGATTGGATAAATGGACTGTAAGATAGATAGAAAGCTGGCTAGACTGTCAGGCCCAACGGGTACTGATCAACGGCTCAATGTCAGGTTGGCGGTCGGTTTCTAGCAGAGTGCCCCAAGGATCTGTTCTTGGACCGATTTTATTCAACATCTTTATTAATTACCTGGATGAGGGGATGGATTGCACCCTCAGCAAGTTCGCAGATGACATTAAGCTGGGGGGAGAGGTAGATATGCTGGAGGGCAGGGATAGGGTTCAGAGTGACCTGGACAGATTAGAGGATTGGGCCAAAAGAAATCTGATGAGGTTCAACAAGGACAAGTGTAGAGTCCTGCACTTGGGACGGAAGAATCCCAAGCATAGTTACAAGCTGGGGACCAACCGGTTAAGTAGTAGTTCTGCAGAAAAGGACCTGGGGGTTACAGTGGATGAGAAGCTAGATATGAGTCAACAGTGTGCCCTTGTAGCCAAGAAGGCTAATGGCATATTAGGTTGCATTAAGAGGAGCATTGCCAGCAGATCCAGAGATGTCATTATTCCCCTTTATTCGGCTTTGGTGAGCCCGCATCTGGAGTATTGTGTCCAGGTCTGGGCCCCCCACTACAAAAAGGATGCGGACGCATTGGAGAGGGTCCAGCGGAGGGCAACCAAAATGATTAGGGGTCTGGAGCATATGACCTACGAGGAGAGGCTGAGGGACTTGGGTCTGTTTAGTCTGCAGAAGCGAAGAGTGAGGGGGGACTTGATAGCAGCCTTCAACTTCCTGAAGGGAGGTTCCAAAGAGGATGGAGAGAGGCTGTTCTCAGTAGTGACAGATGGCAGAACAAGGAGCAATGGTCTCAAGTTGTGGTGGGAGAGGTCCAGGTTGGATATTAGGAAAAACTATTTCACTAGGAGGGTGGTGAAGCACTGGAATGGGTTACCTAGGGAAGTAGTGGAGTCTCCATCCCTAGAGATTTTTAAGTTTCGACTTGACAAAGCCCTGGCTGGGTTGATTTAGTTGGAATTGGTCCTGCCTAGAGCAGGGGGCTGGACTTGATGACCT